AGAATAATTTCAAGCCCTTACCCTATCTCTGGTTATTCAAATCGAACTCTTTTGGTGTCCTAATGCACCCTAATCATTAGGTGGCGACTCTTCAAATGCAAAATCCAGTTCCCAAAAGGAATGAGTTGCCCCTCCAAATGCCGTAAACCCGATTTCGCGAGAAAAAGGGGGCGCGACACTCCTAGCTCTTCTATCGAGAACCAATCGACTATTGTGCCTTCAACACCTGCTCCAACTGTGTTATCAAGACCACCAATTGTTCAAGTTTACTCGCACAGGCGAGAGAGAAATGATACGTCTCCTGCACCAGTTCCTTCGTCATCTGTTCCTCTTCTGCCTGATCCTCTAGAAGACCTTGACCTTCCCATTGCTTTACGCAAAGGTACATGTACTTGCAAATCCACATATTCTATTGCTAATTTTTTTCCTACGACCACTTATCCCCCGCGTCTAGATCTTTGATTACGTCTCTAGACTCCATTTCTATACCCAAAACAGTGAAAGAGGCTTTGAATCATCCTAGATGGTCTAAAGCAATGCTTGAGGAAATATATGCCTTAGAGGAAAACCATACTTGGGATTTAGTGAATTTACCTAGTGGAAAGAAAGCAGTGGGATGCAAATGGGTCTTCACGGTCAAAGTTAATCCAGATGGCTCTATGGTAAGACTTAAGGCCAAACTTGTGGCCAAAGGGTATGCTCAGACTTATGGAGTGGATTATTTAGACACATTCTCTCTGGTTGCCAAACTTATTTCTGTCCGCTTATTCATTTCTCTAGCAGCTTCTGAGAATTAGCCTTTGCATCAATTGGATATTAAGAATGCATTTCTTCATGGTGATCTTCATGAAGAGGTGTATATGGAGCAACCACCTGGTTTTGTTGCTCAGGGGGATTATGGAAAGGTCTGTCATTTAAAGAAGTCCTTATATGGCTTGAAGCAGAGTCCCCGGGCTTGGTTTGGTAAATTTAGTGAGGTAGTTCAAGAATTTGGGCTAAAAAAGAGCAAATGTGATCATTCAGTCTCCTGCAGGAAATCAACAACTGGATCTATTCTCCTTGTTGTATATGTTGATGACATTATGATTACAGGAAGTGATTATGCATGAATCTCTTCTCTCAAGTCTTTCTTGCATACTAAGTTTCATACAAAAGACTTGGGACAACTGAAATATTTCTTGGGAGTAATAGTAACTAGAAGCAAGAAGGGGATTTTCTATCTCAGCGAAAGTATATTCTTGACTTACTAGCAGAAACTGGTAAGTTGGCTGCCAAACCTTGCAGTACTCCAATGGTTCCTAATTTGCATCTTATGAAAGATGATGGCGAGCCATTTAATGATCCAGATAGATACAGGAGGTTAGTTGGGAGACTAAACTATCTCACTATGACTCGTCCAGATATTGCTTTTGCAGTAAGTATGGTTAGCCAATTCATGTCCTCACTCACAATCAAACATTGGGAGGCTTTGGAGCAGATCTTATGTTACTTAAAAGGAGCTCCTGGACTTGGCATATTATATAGCAATCACGGGCATTCCCACATTGATTGTTTTGCAGATGCAGATTGGGCTGGATCCAAGATTGATAGAAGATCTACTACTGGTTACTGTTATTTGTCGGTGGAAACTTGATATCATGGAGAAGTAAGAAATAAAATGTTGTATCTCGGTCTAGTGCAGAGTCAGAGTATAGAGCTATGGCACAATCAACATGTGAGATAATGTGGATACACCATCTTTTAACGGAAATAGGGTTGAAGCATCATATGCCATCAAAGCTCTGGTGTGGCAATCAAGCTGCACTCCATATTGCCTCAAATCCAGTGTATCATGAAAGAACCAAGCATATTGAAGTTGATTATTATTTTATTCGTGAGAAAATTCAAGATAACTTGATTTAAACTGGCTACGTGAAGACAGGAGAGCAACTAGCTGATTTGTTCACTAAAGCATTGAATGGTACTCGAGTTGGTTACCTTTGTAACAAGTTGGGCATGATCAACATATGTGCTCCAGCTTGAGGGGGAGTGTTATAGAATGAATCTAGACATTTATTAGAGAATGAATCTAGACACTTATTATAAAATGAATGTAGACTCTTTCTTAGTAGTGTACATAAATAACAGATTTGTAGGAATCTCTTTTATTTCTTTCCTTAGTTAGCACCTGATGTACATGTATTTATATTGCTCACCTCTTGGAATGAGAATACAAGTTATTCTTTCCATTTCGTGCACAAGATTCAATGTTTGTATTTACTGTATTCGCTATTATATATATTTAGTGTATTAAAATGTAATTTTATTAACAGTACTTTAGTTATTCCTAATACATGTTATTACTGTTGTATTCAGTATATTTTATTGGTTGTATTCACTGTATTTCTATTTGTATTCAATGTATTTTACTGTATTTTAAAATTAAATGTATTCACTGTTTATATTATGTTCTATTGTAATGTTTGTATTTAGTGTATTGCTGTTTATATCATGTATTCATGCATGAATACATGTGTATTCAGCTGTAATAAAAAATACAAAACCTTTGAAATACATAAATACAGGCAAAAAATAATGTATTTTTATAAAAATGCAATGTATTTGAGTGAATTTGTACAGAATACAAATGTATTTGTATCATTGCATGTGGCTAAATAGCAAAGAAGAGAAGAAAGTTCGTCGGAGAAGGCATTTTCTAGCCAATCAAAATATTGTATATATTGTATTAAAACTACAAATAGAGACGAACATAAACCCTGGTCCTCAAATCTTCTCCGACGTAAAAAATATTACAGTATCCGTGTAGAGGAATCCATTGCAATATTCGGCGTAGAAGAAAGCCGCAATCTCTTTCTTTCTAATATTGCAGTACAAATTCATTGCAAATATCCGGCATAAAAACTAAGCAGTACAAATCCATTGCAATATCCGACGTAGAAATTAAGCAAGTATTTTGCTCGAAGAGAGAGAGAAGAAAGAGAGAGAAAGAAGAAAACTTTTGTTTGGATTTTGAGAGAGAATCGTGTGTTAATTGAAAGAAAGAGGGAGAGAAAAAAAAACATAAGTAGCGTATTTCACGCCTCAATTGTAGTATATACTATAAATACTTATTTTGCTATAAAAAATAAAAGGTAACTATAGAAAATAATATTTTAAAATAATTTTAGTTTATAATAAATAGGGTGTAGGGGTGGCAAATGGGCGGGTTGGGCTGAATTTGGGCGGGTCAAGATGGGTTAGGTCAATAAATGGGTCATTGCCCAACCTAGCCCAAAGTGTACTTGGGCTAAGATGGGCTGGGTCAAGATGGGCTAAACAATGGGTCATAACCCAACCCGCCCAACTTGACCCATGTTTTAGAACCATGCTCATCTTGCATTAAAAAAACCTTTTCCTTAAAATGTGTAAGTTGAAATATATTTTGCTGGTGGGGGTGGGGTGGGGTGGATGGGAGGGTGGGTGGTGCAGAAAAACGAAAAAAAAAATAGAAAATTGAAATTAAGAAAAAAAAGTATAAATTTTTTTTTGAGGCGGTTTACGCGGGGTGGTAGAGGGTGGGTGGTGCTGAAAAACAAAAAAACAGAAAATTAAAAATATAAAAAAAAATAGTAAAATTTTTTTAGGGGGTTTGCGGGGGGGGAAGGGGGTGGTGGTGGATAGGTGGATGTGTGGTGTAGAAAAACAAAAAAATAGAAAATTAAAAATACAAAAGAAAAAGTAAAAAAATTTTTTAGGGGTTTGGGGGAGGGTTATGGGGTAGGGTGGGTGGGTGGTGCAGAAAAAAAAATAGAACAGAAAATTTAAAATACAAAAAGAAGAAAAAGTAAAATTGGGGCAACTAAGTAAATTTCTAGATAAGTTGGGTTGAGATCACTTTGTTTTGAGTGAGTTTCATGAGTTGTATTTGGGTTGCTTAATGGGCTATAAAAAATAATTGGTTAACTTGGGCTCAGCCCAAATTGACCCATGAGCTAAAAAATATTTAGCCCAACCCATTAATCTCTGGGCGGGTTGGATGGGTATGGGCTCAAATTGCCACCCCTAATAGGGTGTATACCTTTGTTATAGGAGGTAAAATTTCATATAAATTTTGGATAACTTTTGTATATAACATACAGAATGTATATATACACAAAAATATACAAAATTATATATTTTTTCGACTATTATTTTAAGAGAGGTTATATAGTGTCATTTTACCATATATTATTAACTACGTTGTAAAACTAATAAACTATGTGTTATAAATAACACCATCAAAGTGACTGCTTAGTGTAATTTCTACAACAACTAAAAAATGATGTAACCCCACGTTCCCTTTAGAATAGATTAACCATTTTCTTCTTTTATTATCCTTTTGTTGATGGTAAAATTCTTCTTTTATTTTCATATATTCATTTTGACATGTAATACTAATTATTTTTTCTTCTTGTCTCTACTTGCTTGTTTTGTGGTTATACCTTAACCAAACTATTAGAAAAATAAATTAAAACTAGGCAATGTAATCATACCTTCTGTTAGTCAAATGAATCTTCCATCGTGGAACAAAGATAAGCTCAAGATTCTTAGGCGAGGAAATATAGTTTTTTTTTTAGAAAACACAAACTCCATAACTTCAGACCAGAATAAAATACAGTCGGTGTAAATAAATATTAGGTGACGACCTACAAACTTTTTCTACTTTTTTTGTCATATTCTCTACAAAAATTGTGCAAATTTTGTTTGAATTTAATACTCTTTCGTCTCATTTATTCTATGTGAAAATAAAATAAAATTAAAAATTGTAATATTAATAAATAAAAAATATCTATGTAGTTATACTTTTATTTTATTAAAAAATAAATGTAATATTAAATGAAATTATATTTAAGTATAAAAAACTATTAGTTTTTTTTAAAAATTATCACATAAATTGAACGGAGACGGAGGGAGTAAGAGCAACTACTTCGTCGATTTGTATAATAAAGAGATTAAGTTAATGATATCCGTATTAGCAAATGAAATAACGAACAAGACAAAGCGGCAATCAACGGACACGACAGTGACGACGAAGACGCTCTCTCCTAAACCAAAAATTAAACAAATGAATCAAATTCAGCTCTGCCGTCCCAGCACCAATTCTTTTATAATCACCTTCTGCTATGCTTATTATTCCTCACTCTCACTCATTAATTACTCTTTAATTACCTTTAATCCTCCAAAATCTCTCAAATGGCTTCTTCCTTTGCAATCAACTCAATAACACCTAATTCCAACTACCTCCGCCACCTTAGAAATTACTCTTTTCCGGCCTTTGTGTTAAGAAAAACTATTAATTTCCCTGTAAAGAGTAGTAATTTGAGCTGTAAAAGGAGAAGTTGCAGAGTTGGGATAGTTAGGGCATCATCTTCTACTGAAGTAGTCGATGATCGTGAGAGTGCTGACGTGGAGAGGGCCCACAACGGGAAGGTTCTTAGAGTGGGGCTTATTTGTGGTGGTCCATCTGCTGAGCGTGGAATTTCATTGAACTCTGCTCGATCAGTTCTCGATCATATTCAGGTGCAAACCTCAATTTTCCGGCATTAATAAAGAAATTAGATTTGTATGGTTTCTTTATCTCTTTACTATTTAAGAACTAATTGTGGAAGTACTGTAGCTATGCTAATTTGAACTTAGGTTTTGGTGTCAAAATATGAAACTAGCCGTTTTTGCATTGGTGAAGTACTACAAATTTTGCAGAAGAGGATTAAATTTAACTAACGAGAGCACAAGTTCTAATAATCCTATAATTATGCTAAATTCACGTTATGAAAATGATGCAAGTTCAAAACTTTTTTGGGGTTACTTATCAATTTTTTTCTTTAAATTGATGAACTGAAGAAAACATTTATGTATGTTGATTTTACACTGACCTAGCTTGACCTGAAAAAGTTTTAAGTCAAGCTCTTTGAGAGAGTTGATGTTCTGTTTTGATGCAGCAAAAAAGAAAATTGTAGCTGTAATTGCCTATTAAGATTAAAACTCCTTTTGATGAAGGGTTGCGGCGAGAGTTGAACCCAAATTCTCAGCGTGCTCTGATATTATGTTGAATTGTGTGACCACCTTATAAAAAGTTGAAGTTGTTAGAGAGGAGACACAGTTATTTGTTTATGTTTGGTCTCTACTATGCGTCTTCACGTGCTGGTTTGACTCAGATGGATGATTTAGTTGACTAGTTGAGTGTTATTTGGCTGCCACATATTACACATTAGAAGATGTAATCTAGTACTCCATTTCTTGCAGCTGGTTGTTGCTTAGAAATAGGAGACTATTATGTTTTACTAATGTAACGATAGCTGATTGTTCTGTGTCTATTATCTGTGTTATGGAAAAATATTTGTTCTTTCATTTTGTGATTTACACTTTTCAGTGCTTGAGCAGGGGGACGATTTGGATGTTAGCTGCTATTACATTGATAGCAAACTCAAGGCCTATGCTATATCCACTGCGCAGGTTTGCAGATTAAACATATGCACCCTTTAACCCGTACTTTCTGTCCTTTTCGCTATAAATTACTGTAATAATTGATCACCTCTATTTAGGGGGACTTGCAAGCAGGGTAAGCAAAGTCTTCATTAAGAGCACATTTCCACTATGAATTTATTAAAGTCTGGTTGCTATTCAAAAAGATTCTGGGATTATCAAGATGTGGTTGATTGACAGGTGGAGATTCTTGTCGAAATGAATATGGGATAATCTGTCTCTACTGAGATGGATGATCTCAGAATGTGCATCAATAATTATCTTAACAAGAATTATAGGTGCCGTTTTCTTGACGAAAAAAGTAGGTCATAGAGCTAGAATTGAATTCACAGAAGCTATTAATTCATTAAATATTATAATAATAATTAAATATTATTATTATTATTATTAATATTATTGATCAGTATGATGGTTCATTTTATTTATGCATTTTTATTAGTATAAGTAGCTTGGTAAAAGGTTCATTTTAAATTTATAAGCACTTCTGACTTATTTTTTTCCTTTAGATTCTAAAATCTTCTGTAAGCCAATCCTTCCTTTTCTCCTTTTCCATTCAGTTTGATCCGATTATTCGCTCATAAACCATGAGATTGAATTTGGCTTAAACCTCAGAGGATATTTAGTTTCTGTTTTCTCATTCTTCAATGTGAATCTTGGCCATTGGACAGGCCCAATATGCATTTGGGAAGAACCAATTCTCAGACTAAATTTAACTCGTTTATAGTTTATAAGCTTGATAAAAGAAAAAAACTCATTGATGGTTTATCCCTTGTGCTTCTCCTAGGCGCTAGGCATCTCCTGTATCTTTTGTGGTTTTGGCTATTGATAATTTAGTTTTCTTGTTAAATTTCACTTATAGGTATACTCGAACACTCCTGCAGACTTTGATTTCAAACTTGAGAGGTTAGTTGTCACAGCCGAACATCTGAGCTTGTTATAGTGTAAAATTTTCTGTGCTTGTTTTAGTTGAAATGTTCTCATATTGTATTTGCAGCCTTGCCCAAGGCTTCAATTCATTATCTGACTTTACAGAACACCTTGCTTCTTCTGTGGACATAGTTTTTCCTGTTATACATGGTCGTTTTGGTGAAGATGGTGGCGTTCAGGTTTCTGTACTGAAACACTCAAGAACCTTCACACGTACTGATTGCTTTCTGATTTTGAAAGCTTAAACGACTTCCTTTTCTTATGTTTTCACATGTGTCTTGATTCATATTTTAGGAGCTATTGGAACGATCGAATATTCCATTTGTGGGAACAGGGTCCACCCAATGTCAAAAAGCATTTGATAAAGTAAAATACCTGTCGCATCTACTTTATTTTTATTTTTCTGATCTGGCATGGATTTCTCATATAATTTGAGACCAACTAGAATGTATGTATTGATTACACTATATATGCTGTTCTTTTGAAGAATGAATCCATTAATCTCAAAAATAACTTTTTATTCTTTTAAATTGTTTGGTTGTATTTCAACTGTAGTAATCCTTAATTTGAACCACAGTCCTATTCTGAAACCTTCGATCTTCATATTGATATTTTAGTTGATTTATGAGTTTGTTTAAGATATATAAATTCATATTAAAATACATGGAAACCACATGCTAACGTACTAGATTGATCATGTCAGCAAGAAATTTTTACTAGGATCGTCCATGGTGTAGCAGGCTGCTGTCCATAATGCATTATGCATCCAAACTTCTTTGATTAATAGATGATATTGACGCTTCTTTCGAAATTTTCAACAGTATGATGCATCGTTGGAGCTTGACAGACAAGGTTTCGTGACTGTACCTAATTTTCTCATACAGGTGTGATCTGTGTTTAGTTGTGTTTCATCAAGGTCTTTTAGTGCTGCTTTTTACCTTCTCTATCATGTGCTTTCTTCTGTTTGAAGTTTCCATATGCAGGCATATGTTACTACTGTTAAAAATGGTCTTCCAATTTATTTGTTTTTTTTTGGTCCTATTTCTCTATTCAAACTGTATCTGCTATGTTTGATATCATATTTCTTACGAAAAGGCTTGAGCTTGCTTATCTTATCTAGCTGAGGAATATTCACAACTCAGCTTGTTTCCGACTCCCCATGATAATGATTACATAATCTATCCTTATTTTATGTTGAGACCGGGTAAATATTCCTTTTTCTTCTCTAGATTATCAAACAAAGAGAAGAAGTACCTTTTGCTTCTCTATTCATTTTGCTCTTGGTTGGTTCACTCCCTACTCGACTGTTCCTCTTTTTACATCTACTTTCTGTGTTATTGTATTTATTTTCCTGTATTTTCCTTGTTGATTTGCAAGCCAATGTAACCTACAAGAAGCTGCTTTCTTAAAATATCATCCTGGACATTCTGTTTTTCTAATACACTCAAGAAACAGAATTGTACACAAAACTAACTGTGTGGTCTGGTCCTGCTCTTAGGGAAGTGAAATGGATGAATCTGGACTGTCAAAGTGGTTTGACCAAAACCTACTAGACACTAAGTTGGGAAAAGTTGTGGTGAGCACTAAATGGGGCATTCATTTTGGTAGTTTTGCAGCACTCCTCATCCATTATTTACATTTAGGAGCCATACAAAAGTGCAGGTAAAACCAACAAGAGCAGGATCAAGCATTGGAGTTAGTGTTGCCTATGGTGTCACTGATTCTCTACAAAAAGCTAACACAATTATTTCTGAGGTAATCTCTTTCTTCTCCATGCCATTTTTCTTTTAGTTTTTTTAGTTTGTTATATTATAACTCTTGAAAAGCATTGGTTTTGATGTTGTATTTGATGAAACTGGAAATTTAAGTCCTTCAAATGCTAGGTCGCAGTTTGTATTCAGGCATATATTCAATCAACAAACCATTTTTCATTACTTTGGCAGGGGATTGATGACAAAGTCCTTGTTGAAATTTTCCTTGAAGGAGGTAGTGAATTTACAGCAATTGTCCTTGATGTAGGTTCTGGTTTTGATTGCCAGCCTGTTGTGTTATTGCCAACCGAGGTATATTAGATACTTTACTCTTTTAATATTAAGTTAATTAGAGGTTTATAAATTCTCAAAAATGACGGTGAAAGAAATTAGTGCCTGAGTTTGAACTTGCATGAGTACAGTAACTGTAGAGTTTCATTGTGCTGAGGTGTTAAATTGCAGAGATATCAGATAAATAAATCCAAGAATTAGGAACTTCTAACATTTCTGCCAGTTTAAATTGCTATTGTTTGTTGAAGATTGATATTTGAAATGTAAGAAATGATGGGCACCAATTTAATCTATTATATAAGCATTGCATAGGAAGATATCGTTAACTGCTTTCTGGATGTGTAAGTTTATCATGCCCTTTCACGTCGTCCCTGATTACAGGCAGATATTGACACAAAATCTTGCATTGGTATGATGGAAAGCCAAATTTCCGTCAACTTTTATAAGAGTGATAATTGTCATTAAGCAAAGTGATATTCATTGGTTTCTCAAAAAAATGAAAAAGAAAAAAAAAGTGATACTCTAAGGTGGTCCATTATTGAGCTTAAAGAGTTGAATTTTGATACCGATCCTTTTCAGCTCTGCAAGTGTGCAAGATTAGGAAATACTTACCTAAAGTGGCTCATCATGTATTTAGTGCGGAACAATTAGTATTCTCACATTTAAGCAATGTTAGAGCAGAAGTTACTGACAGTCTGCCGCTGCTTGCTTTTGTGGGGCTATGCTAGTATGTCGAGAACTTGAAGTTCATTAAGTTCTCTTGTAGCATAGAGGGCGTAACTTTTTTTGTTCAGTTCCCTAATTACTTGTTAACGTTTTCTCATGTCCAAACGGATCCAGTGCTGAAAAGTTTATTCATTTAAAATGTGGTTAACGGAAATAAATTTGTTAAAACTCTGTTCTACTATTAAATCGGCAAGGAATGACAAGGATATTTACTGTCATTATGGTTGATGTTTTGCTTCATGTAACACCAATTATGGAGCACTGCTTATTAAGGATTGTGTAGGTCAATGAGTAGATCCTTATGTTTGATTATCATTAATGAAAGAGTTGAGAGAAAGTGTTTTCTTTCTGCCTTTTTGCTCGCAAGATTTCTGATCAAATGAAGTCAATAGCTATAGCAATGAATTTCTCAATTTTCATTATGCTCCATGTGTTTAATGTCCAACATGTTCAGGTGGAGCTGCAATCACATGGCACTGTTGATGTTAGGGAGAAAGACGCTATATTTAACTATCGACGGAAGTATCTCCCTACTCGACAGGTAGTGTAAATTTTCTGGTTGATGGAATGTGCACCTAAAACTCTAGGGACATGTTTTACTGTTCTTTGTTCTTTCCTTTTTTCCTTTCATTTTTAAGCATAATGATGACATCCTCAATGTGATCGATAATAGCATGGCATTGAAGACATAAGTAAATGCGTTTCATATCTCTTGTTCATTCATTTAACATTCCCTAGTTAAGGTTGTTTCTACCCTATATAAACACAACTTTACTAGGTTTGACAAATATCGAACGATTGGTGATACAGTGGTCCTTTGCTTTTGTTTAATTTGCTGGCATGCTTTTCTGATTTAAATCTCTCATGTCCTATCTCAAAGCTCAAAATGTACTTATAGATTTCTTCTTGCTTATATTAATCTAAACAGCATGGCAATTATTGTAGGTTGCTTATCACACTCCACCTAGATTCTCTGTGGATGTGATTTCAAAGATACGTGAAGGGGCGTCATTACTATTTCAGCGGCTTGGCTTGCGTGATTTTGCTCGAATTGATGGCTGGTTTTTGCTGCCTTCTATGGAAGCTTCCTCTTTTGCAGGAAACAAATTTGGAAGGACTGATTCTGGCACAGTTATATTCACTGATATCAACTTGGTGAGATAGCTTACTGACTGTTCCTGTATTTTCTTTTCAGTATTTATGCTTGAACTGTTATGTACCTTCTTCTCCCCAGATCAGTGGAATGGAGCAAACGAGTTTCTTATTTCAGCAAGCCTCCAAGGTACTCCCATAGTCCTTGGTTTATTGTAGATAACATTACGTGAAATTTCCAGTCTGCTTCAGTATAGGCCCGGCGATCTATAAATCTTGTGGTGTCATTTTATCTGTAAATCATGTGGTATCATGAAACTTTCCATGCTATAAGTGTCTGTACAGACCATAAGAAAGTCCATTTGGCATGAATTGCCCTTTCCTCTAGAAAGTCCATCTGGCGTAAATTTTGTGTGCTCAATATCTTGAATAAAAAAGAAAGTGGTATGTTGTTATGAGGTGTCATCTGGAACAAATGTATACTATCTTATATATGGAAGTTCGATTTGTGAACAATATCCTATCCTTCCCCCCAATCAAACATGCAAACACTTTAAGAACCCTTAAAAAGAAAAGCAGGGGATAATAAAATTCCTTGTGAGAGAATTGGTAGATATACGGTCCATTTGAGTAACTTGATATTTACAGGTATCACAACTTCTAGTGGAGGTATTATACATGTTTCCTATAAATTAGCTAGCTCCAGTCTTGTTGAATGTAATGAGTTTGTGCATATCTTTCCATGTCAGGTTGGATTTTCACACTCAAATATTCTCCGGATCATCATCCAACATGCTTGCTTGCGGTTTCCAGCTCTTTTGTCACATAGCATCATATCAAGTCCCTCGAGAAGGAGATCAAAATCTGCATCAGTAACTGAATCATTTATTAAACAACATAAGAAAGTTTACGTCATCTTTGGCGGTGACACCTCTGAACGCCAAGTATCTCTTATGAGCGGAACCAATGTTTGGCTGAATCTAAGAGCATCTGATGATGTAAGTTTTCGTGTCTACCAGACTAACGAATCTTCTATTCTGAACATAACTACTGTGACTCGGGGACTGATTCCTTTTTTTTTGGGTAAAAACGTACTTTTTTTCTTACCGTAGCATAGGCCTTCGCCACTTCAAACGGGCGCTTCGCCCCTCTTTTTTTTGAATTAGAAAGAGCGGGGTCTTACTTATTCAGGGGGGATGAAAGACAAATAAAGGGATCAGGGGGCTTTATGATCGGAGAAAGAGAAGGGGCGTGGTTGGTGTGTCACTGGGTCGGTGGGGGAAATAATCCGTAAAAGATAATTATTGATTATTGGAATGGAATGAGTCCGAATAGTGTGGAATAGAGGTAGAGGATTCATATAGCTGACCCACACTAATTTGGGGTTTAGGCATAGTTACATTTATTTTCATATGGCCCTCCCCT